GATTCACCAATTCTGAATCGATTTTCATGTTAATTTCTAAAGATCGATCCGTAACTCAGAGGATCGATTTAATAATAGGAACTTTAACTTGCCGAGAGATCCCTGTATGCGCATTGAAAGGCTTTCACTCAGCGCGCACACTGTTACAACAACGGGCTTTGAGTGAGTCATTCGTTCATTCAACGAACACGTTCAAAAAAGCTGATTCATTAAAAGAGATGTAATGAAACAAGGTGTTAATTATTTTTAACTTTGAGTTCCACTTTTCAAGGCTCAGCTGAGCAGCAATGTGTCGCATGGGTTACGCTGAAGCTGATGCTTCACTTATTAGAGACCAATATGGCATTGATTCAATGCGTGACTCGCTGATTTTATTTCCCCGCGGCTTCCTCGCGCTGTGGAATGCTGACCAGCGCTGCTCCTGACGCGCATTTATGGTAAATACCCGTGACGTGAACGCTAAAAGGATGATATGACAAATATTTCGCTTTCCTTTGACACGGCAACCTTTTTCACGAATACATATGACTTCAAAGACAGACGCAGGTAATCGCACGCGCTCTGCCGATCTCTCTCATTCACTGTCTGTGCGAAGCCTCTGTAGGCTACACATCACCACGATAAACGGTCTTGTTTGTTATCATTATGAACTTGTTTAACATTCAATACACATGCATGAAGTTAAAAACAAGCAGTTAAATGTCTATAATAGCCTAATAGTATCAATATGTTGCATAACTACAGTCCTGTAATTCAGGTAACAGCTGGAAAAAACAAAAAAACTCATATCTAAATCTCGAAAATCGGATCAGATCGGATCGGATCGAATCGAATAATGATAATCGATTCAAGATCTTGAGAATCGGAATCGAATCGATTCTTGAAATTTGAATTGAAACCCAGCTCTAATAAATCTCCACCTCCAACATCCTCACACTCATAGGCTACTAGCCGAGACTCCTTCTTTATGTGTACAGATGTGACGTAATGGCGCAAAGACATGCTCGAATCTCCCGTGGATTGAAATCGTCTCCGGTTACTATCGTAACCTCGGTTCCCTGAGAGGCGGGAACTTGACTTTACGTCATACTGACGTATATGGGAACTCCTCCCTTCTCCATATACGTCAGTATGACGTAATGTCGAAGTGACCGCCTTGAAAGGGAACGTCTCCGGTTACTATCGTAACCTCGGTTCCCTGAGAGGCGGGAACGAGACATTATGTCATACTGACGTATATGGAGAAGGGAGGAGTTCCCATATACGTCAGTATGACGTAATGTCGAAGTGACCGCCTTGAAAGGGAACCATCAGTACCACTGGAGTTAAAAACATTACAAGCTTACCGCTTTGAATCGAGCTAAGGCAAGCAGAGAGTTTTGAACACTGGCTGGTTATATACTTGCTCAAAAAATTATTTTGGATAATTTTTAACCCAAAAAAGTTACGGACTGCAGCTTTAAATAAATATTTAATAACAAAATTTCAATATCCATCATGGCACAAAGTCAAGATACCCTATATGAAAACATCAACAGATTCTAAATGTTTCTGAGCTTGTATTACTCAAGAAGACAAGCTGTTTTATTAATATTACATAGGCTGCTTGGATGGTACAAATCACATGTTTAAGTGCAAGTTAAAGAGCAACAACAACAACAACAACAAAAACATTAGAAAGAAAAACATTTACATTTACATTTATTCATTTAGCAGACGCTTTTATCCAAAGCGACTTAAAAATGAGAACAATAGAAGCAGTTAAACTAACAGTAGGACAACAATACGTAAGTGCTATAACCCCTCTCAGTTTAATTTTAGTGCAGTTTTTAATAAAAACAATAAGATGAGACTGGATCAGTTTTGAAAACAATGCTTGAGTTTATGTTATTAACAGAGGTGGATATGTCTGTGTATGGTTAGGTCACCCAGAACACCCTAACAACCACATACTCTAGCAACACCCTAGCAACTGCATAGCAAGAGTCTAGCAACACTTTAGCAAACACCCAGAACATCTATCTATTCTGGCCTAACTGACCATTGACCAAATAACAAGGCATAAATTTGTCTTTCAAACTTTTCAACAGTGTTAATTTCGTTGACGAAAATAACGACGAAAATTATTCGTCAACGACATTTTTTCACAGACGAAAACGAGACGATAACTAAATAAAACCTAGTTTTGAATGACAAAGACTATGACGAAAATCTATTGACATTTTCGTCAACGAATAAAAACTAGACGAAAATGTTAGATAGTGACGATTTGGGAAGCGATCCGTCAGAACTGATGTCCTGCGTGTGTGGAAGATGCGCACATTTGTAGGCTACTGTAACGTGATCTACCCCGCGGTCATAAAACGTTAAAAAATGTGAACGTCTGGGAGAATGAGTAGAGCAGACATATAGATCTCTGAATAAGAGTGACGATGCAAAAAAGAGCTTTATTCGGTGCGGTTTTCTGTGCGCACACACCTAACCCGAAGCGTGCAGTCATGCACAATACACCTACAGCGCGCGAGTAGGCTACTGAATTGAGCTCTCTTTCGTGTCTGAATGGAGAAATACACAACAGTATGTCTAAATGTCCTTTTTGGAGAGTATTCATGTAAACTATGCTGGTTATGTCTTAAACTGTGAGTGTGTCGGATGTGCATCAGTGCAATTGTATCCGCATGTCATTGGACATGATCCGACGTCTTAAAGTGACAGTGGCAATAAACCTAATGCGGTCTGTGTCCTTAATTTTGATCAAGCAACAAAAGAAAAAGAGAAAAGCATTCACTGTTTGTTAATAGCTTTAATAAGGATTAATTATATTTAATTCATACAAATAAATATGTCTGCTTGAAAGAATAAAGAATGATGTGTAAGTAGTTATAAGGAATGCATATATCATTCATTGTAAAGAAGACTGTGTTGTACTTTAGAAAAAGTGGTTTTATTTCATTTTAAGATATTTTTTAAGTCACAGTAGTTAAATCTGTATCTGTATTGCATGTTCAAACTTAAAAATCATTCATATTAATAGGTTAATAGATGTTTTCTCCGGGAGTATATGGGTTTGGAAATTTTAGAGAAATTCTAAATTAACGCATTACAATTGAACTAAACCCATTATATTTTAGTCGACTAAATCTACTGTAGATTTAGTCGACTAAAATGTTATTGTATTTCGTCGACTAAAACTAGACTAAAACTAAAACAATTCAGATGACTAAAATATGACTAAAACTAAATGGCATTTTAGTCAAAAGACTAAGACTAAAACTAAAACTAAATCAAAATTTGCTGACAAAATTAACACTGCTTTTCAATCTAGTTATTACAGTTTTGCATGATTGCTACTAACACACAATTCATGAAACAATTCACCGTTTTCTCACACAATCTCAAAACTCAAATTGCAACCTCAAACTTCCAGGTCAAAATAAAACAAAACACTAATACACTGTAACAAAAATCTCTTATTGGGATTCAGGAATTATTTCGCAGCTCATTGTCTATTACTAATAGACATACACCACATGTTTTGTAAAATATGCACCACAATACACAGTAAAAAAAAAAAAAGTATATTCAGGATCCTATGCATATTTCATGGTCAAATATCATTACCGTATACAGTACTATAGCAGTTATAGTCTTCTGACACAGTAATTTCTCAGTTCTGCAGAAATACAGTAGGTATTTAAAATTGCTGCAATTAGGCTAACTGACAATAAGTTTAAGAGAGTAGCCTAGGCCTACTTAGAATAGTTTAATTTCCCTCATTTAAAGTACTGGTAACTGTAATTGATGATTCTTTCAGCTCTCTCTCCAGGATGCAAAAATTCTAAATTGTTGTCATCAGTTTAATGTTTAGTCATTCGTTTTGAGAAATGTGTCTAATGAATGGTTCGGAAGATTTGGGCTGAATCAGTAATGTGTAATCGAGAAAAACTGCAATGCGCTTATATTACCTAAATCTGCTATAAGTTTCTGCTATCGAGATCTTCTTATTGATTTCATTCGTCTGATGGCAAAAAAGGTCTGTCCATGATGAAGTCGACTAACAATTACGAAATAAATCTCACACATGTATACCGACGCAATTAGATTTCTCAGAGGACTTCTAAATTAGCTGAGAAGAAGCAGTAATTTTCCAATTCACCAACAAATTGGAAAAACAATTAGTAGGACTAAATGAACTGGGCTGTGTTTTTGACCCACAAAGAGGCAGTTCAAATAGCTTTACGCTATTTTTTTTTTTAAATCTCACCACATTGAAGCACCGCTGCTGAAAAGCAGTAGGCCTACTTGAAAATGCTTACATTTATAATTTCTTCTGTAATGATTATGGTGTGGCAAAGCTTTTTCTCCAAACACATCATATATCTTCATAATCTATAACCTGTAGTTATAGTGTCCAGCGGCAAGTGGCGCTGTGCTTTTGCAGCTTTGTGCGAATATCCGAAGAAGAAGACAGAAACATCCGGGTATTGTTGTGCCACCGCTAAAGAAACGGATGAAAGACGGATAGATCTTTACGAGTTCTACCGATAACTACAGCCTTTCTTTATTCGTTAACATGGCGGCAAGTACATTTGTTTGATTATTGTTTGGGCAAGATCGTATTCGACAGAAGCACATAATTAATGAAACAGCGATTGATGGGCTGCACTCTGTACTCGGAAAATGGCGGATTTCATATTCTAAGCTAAATAGAAAATAATTAATCGCACGGCTCAAAACAATGCTGTGAACTAAAATGGCAACCTATTGTGTTCAAAATTTTAGTGTCAACAAGTAATATAATTTAGTTGGAATCTGCTATCCAGCACGCAATGCACACAAACATACGGCGATTAGCTGGATAATTCGACTTACCGTCTTTAGTAGTCGACAACACTCCAGTGTGAATGTTCATAATCGAGTGTTTTAATGCTTTTCGTATTCTTTACATTGTAAACAAAACAGTAAGGCTCGATGTTTATATTGGTTTTGTGATTTATCAGGCAAATGACGCTGAGTTCGGGTTGGAAACCTGCAAAACATCCAGGAGCTCGAAGCATTGTTCACGGTCCAGATCGCGCTCAGTGGAGCGGAAGCGCAAGTCAGGTAAACCAGACTTACTGATGATCAGTGTTGTGTGTAACGCGTTACAAAGTAACGCGTTACAGTAACGTAACTACTTTTTCGGGTAACAAGTAGTGTAACGCGTTACTACTGAAAATTTGGTAACGAAACGTAGTTCCTTTTTCAATTCCGCACAACGTTACTTTTCCCATGGACAGATTTGACAGCAACACTGTCTCCTCAGCTGTGCGCTTGCAATCGTCACAAGCTCCACATGGTAGCCTACGTGACAGAGGCTGGTAGCAAAACAATCAATTCTGTGAATTACACTGCGCAAACAAAAAGTAATACTCCCACCGGATGAAGAAGGGTTGGCTCTCCACAGAACATAAAATATTAATTGTATTGAATTTTTCGTGTTCGCATTTATGAGGAAAGAAACAATGTTATGGACGTAACAGTTCTTCGGACTTGACCGCTCTGAAAGCGGCACTAAAAGACTGCTTTAAATCTTTCACAGAGACCTCAAACAGGCATTTAAAACACCAAATATTAAGGATTGGCATATCAAGCAAAATAATATTCGATGATTGCTCGAAAATCGTACCTCTACCCCCACATGCTTACAGTATAGACGGGGTTCGCTCAAATCCCGCTCCGATATTAAATTTCTCTGTATAGACTGCGTGTTGTAGCCTAGTCATTAAAGAAAACGATTTAGTTTCATATTTATGTTTAAATAAAATAATTTATTTTTTTATTTCATCAATGTTGATTATATGAAAAGTGTAAAGCATGAGTAAGAGCATAAGATGCGCAATCGGGAGACAAATGGAGTGGGCAGACATGATTTTGACCACTTCATTAAGTTTGTTTTTGTAGAAAGCCTTTCTTTAAAGTGAATTTCGTTTTGTATTAATTGTATCTTAATTTTAATCAATGTTTCATCAACCAATTGTCTTTAATAAATAAGCAGTAAATATAGCAGGCAATATAATCAGGACTTCTCAGGAGCTCCGTGCCGGTGTTCTGACGATTTGTGCTGCCTTGTCGAAAAATGCTACCGTAGTGCGAATCGATCTATATTAATATTATATATTATATGAAATACAATTATAATACAATTCTAAGTTATGAGTAGCTACTGTATACTGTAGACTACTGTTTTTATTTTTTAAACGGTGTGAAAAGTAAAAATTATTATCAAATATTGACTTGTCAAAGCACACCTTTCCTTAGTAACTGAAACTTTCAATTATTCTTCTTCAGCTGGCTGACCGTACAAATATTCATATGGTAGTTATCATTTTTAAAAGAAAAAATACTTTATAACACATGAAAATTTACCTTTTGTTAAAAAAACTGAGTCTGCACATGCGCATAACCAGTAAGTAGCAAATCTCGATGGGTAGCATGAATCGTCAGAACACCGGCGCTTGGACTGAGCTCGTCTCATAAATGAACCGAAACTTAGCGCAAGCTACTTGCCTCAAAGATCTGAGAAATATATAGAAAGCTTGAAATGTGTACTTTAAAACAAAACTATTCAAAACGAGAGAAAACAGACTATCTGCTTATGTAATCCATATGAAATGTGCATTTCTCTCTGGCGCGTTCACTACTGTGAAGATCGCGAGTCAGCATCGTCAACTTTATCTTTGCAGCCGACACTGACTGACAAAGAAAACACTTGTTTATTAATAATGTTTATGTTTATGTCTCCTTGCTATATTTGATATTCGATATTCATAATCATTTCTTTTGCCGGTTCTTTGTGACATTTTTCATGAACGCGTCACCACCGCTCAATAGTTAATATTGTGCTTTGGTGTTCAGTTTATACAGGTTTTTCAAATGTTATTTAAGTAAATATATATTTTTTTTCTATCTCAAAATCTCTCTTTTTTTCTAGTTTTTTTTTTTTCTAGTTTTTCAATAAGTAGAGTTCATAGTAGAATTTTATGTAGGCCTACACATTTAGGAACAGATATTGGGTTCTGCCCAAAGTCAAGCAACATAAAAGTAACGTAAAAGTAACGAGTAACATAAAAAGTAACATTCCAAAGGGGGTAACTAAGTAAAGTAACGGATTACTTTTTTAAGAAGTAACGAGTAACGAGAAAACACTACTTTTTAAAAGTAACTTCCCCAACACTGCTGATGATGACATGTTGGTGCAGTCCAGGCCCGGGTCGCATTTTTAAGTTTAAGGTTTAACATTTTTAAGTTAAACCAACAATTATGTTTTACAGTGCAGGTTGAATTTATGGTGCGTTCAAGTCATGTCAAAAAGATCGTTACGAGTTGAATTCGCATGAACGCCACCACAAAGTCGTAAATACGAGTGGGATGCTCTGGATTGTCTTTAAAGGGATAGTTCACTTTGAAATAAATTTTTGGTATGTTTTAGCTTACCTCAAGGGCATCCAAGATGTAGGTGTCTTTGTTTCCGCAGTAGTTTAAATTGATATTTTTAGGTCAAACCGTTCTTGTCTGTCAGTCATATAATGCAGGTCTACGGTCACTTCCTCAAAGAGCATGCACAGAGAAGTCCAAATTAAACATGATTTAATGACTCGTAAATGTAAGTACACATTGATGGCCTACAATATGAACAGTATTTATATCGTTTTTACCTCTTGTAAACACAGCCACGACCAAGTGTTCTGAGGGCGCCGGCGCTTCGGTCTTTTCCGGAAAGCGCCGGAAGTGATATCTCGCGCGTGTACGTCACTCATACAATTGTTTTTTTATTTTATTATTGTTTTCTTTTACGACGGTTTAAACATCCCGGATAAGCGCAAATTTAGTACCATTTTAATTAGCCGTCTTACCTACAATCTTTGTTCTGTGTAAACAATGAGTGACGTACACGTGCGCGAGAGATCACTTCCGGCGCTTTCCGGAAAAGACCGAACCCGCGCCCTCAGATCACTTGGACATGGCTGTGTTTACAAGAGGTAAAAACGATATAAATACTGTTCGTTTTCTCACACAAACCGCTCGTTTCGTGTCTTAGCCCATCAATGTGTACTTACATTTACGAGTCATTAAATCATGTTTAATTTTGACTTCTCTGTGCATGCTCTTTGAGGAAGTGACTTCTTCTGCAAAGAGAGATGACTTATTTTCTACAACATTGGCAAGGTGATATTTAATGCCTACTTGACAGTCTAGGTCAAAAGAGCCCACCCTCATATCTCTGTGACGTTCTTGCGTCTGGTTATGGCTTGTTCATGTTGTTTGGGTCTTCTAAATGGTTGCTAGGGTGTAGCAAGGCAGTTGCCAGGGTGATACCTATAGCCAGTTAACACCCTTTTTAAAAGAGCCCACCCACACGTCTCTATGATGATTAAATGCTAAGATGCTGTTATTAATTTAGCTTTACGGTTGCTAGGGTGCCCTAAATGGTTGCTAGGGTGCCCTAAATGGTTGCTAGGGTGCCCCAAGGTGTGTCAATGGAGTTGCTATGTCATTATTTATTGGCTGCTTGCTAGGCAGAGAGGGAGGCACAACACCTTCTCAATGACCTTCTGATCTGGTAATATGATCTCTCAAATTTACGTGCCGATGTCAAAGTGTGAATTTTAGGCCGTTTTTTCCCGCCAGATCGCAGTTTTCTCCTCAATACAGGTTATGCCCAACATTTATATTGTCTAGCAGTATTTGAGATAATAATAGTGATGCAGTGCTACACAAGTAATAAATTAGCTGTTATTTCCCCATCAGTCACTGATCTTCACTGTCTATCCTTGACTAAATTCAAGCATTTAAAACCAAGGAGTTTATATATTGCCTTATTGAAGGTCCTACCTCAATCTTGAAAGATGCCCAGTAATAAAGTAAACTTTTTGGGTGGCCAATGACAGTTTAGGGCACTACATGGACACTCCACTGGCTGCATTGTGCCCAAAAATATAAATTATGATCAAAATAGTCTCTCCTTACCTTGTCAAGAATCAAATCCCAGCTTCTGTTAGCCTTGAGTCCATCTAAAAACTACTATGCAAACATCTAAAGGTTCTTTTCTTTTCTCATTTATTAAATTCTGCGGCGGTAAGAAAATAATTAACAAATAATTAAAGAGTCTGCTGAATTTCAGATACATTACCGTTAGGGGTGGAACAGTACACAGAAGTCACGGTTCGGTTCATACTTCGGTTCAGACATCACGGTTCGGTACGATTTCGGTACAAGTGAATAGCAAAACAAAAATGCAGAAGGCTTTTTTATAAATGTCTTACGCCTTGTATTTTTTAAATAAGTTTTATTAATAAAGGCATAGAACCAGTTTATTTGTAGTGCACTGACAGTAGTTTTATATAATTAGTTTATTAATTAAATGATTAAAAAGACGAAAAGACCTTGAGATATGTTTGGTAATTGTACCTGAATGAATTTAAAATTAATTTGCTATTTCAGATCAATATATTTGTTTTCCTTCATTTTAATTAACCCTAACTTTATTCTCATCTGAATTATAAATAGTTGATTTCCGTATAAAATAATACTACCATTCAAAACTTTTGTTAACAGTTGTAGGTTACAGTTTGACAAGAGTTTAGAGTGTGACAAAAGCACAGTTGTGTTTTATTGCGAGTGTACACAAATATAAGTAAACAATTTGCAGTTTTAATGATGTCCTGTAGGAAAAAAATGACGGAGTATGTTTTTATGTTTCCACTGTTCGATCGGCCGTGCCTCTGACACACACATACACTGTTCGATCGCGCGATTCGCGCCCGCGCCTTTCTCTCTCTCTCTCTCGCACACACACACACACACACACACACTGTTCATCGCGCCCCTCTCTCTCTCTCTCTCGCACACACACACACACACACACACACACACACACACACACACACACACACACACACACACACTCCAGCATTGCAATCTTGATCGCAGCCTGTTCATTGCTGCGCTCAGTCACACCAAAAGCGAATAGAGCGAAATTTATCGCTATTTAAGAGTTGTTTTTTTTTTTCGTACCGTGTATTCTCCGTGCAAATTCGTGCACCGAACCGTGACGCCCGTACCGTTTCGGTTCAATACGAATACATGTACCGTTCCACCCCTAATTACCGTGCCAGTGATGACTGTGGGCCTCTTCATCAGATGCATGATGAAAAAGTTCAATTTCACCAACCTCTGTTTTTACCAGGTTGCTATTTGCTAAAGGCTTTTATGTTCTCTCCCAACTTTGTTTCAATAGGAAACCGGTCAGCAGAGGGAAAAAAAAAGTTACATGTCAGTTGAATCCTCCAATGTCCTTCAAACAATCATTTATTTGTATCTTTTTGTCTTTTAGGAGACAAGAGACACAGAAGAAGCCACAGCAGAAGCAAAGAGGTAACTAATTTTAGTCCATTGATGTCATGTAGACCTAAATTAAACTGGTCACATCATCATCAGTAGTTTTACAGCTGGCATTTCTAGTTTTAGCCGGTGGTAAGTATGCAGCTTAGACAGTAAGAAATGAAATGCCAGACTGAGAGGAAAAGCACTGATATAATCACAAGTGCATGTAATATTAAATAATATTCATGTTGATAACAGATGGAGAGAAATGTCTGTTTGGGAGCTTTTTTAACGTCCTGTATTTTAGATCATATGATAACATTTGTATAATAAATTACACTCAGCGTGCTAATGCACGAAGAGACACTCTGAACAGAAGACGCTGCTGACAGATAGCAAAATTATATGCCTACTACCTGGACAGGTAACTATCAGTCATTTAAACTTATTTGCCTATAAATAGATCTCTTTTTGTCTCACAACCCCTTTTTTTGTAGATACCAGCTCAGAATTGCAAGGAAAAAAATGAGTGGTCATTTCTCATATAAATGCTTGCAGATTTGCAAAATGTTATAATCTGTTTTAAAACCACTGAAATAAAAAATTTTTAAGATGAATTTGGTCATAATTGGCTTTTTACGCTGTACACAGTGACCGTGAGTTCACTTTCAATGGGAGAGCCGGGCAGGAGGTAGAACAGGCTCGCTCACAGGAATCATGCCACTTTGTTGTGTACAACCGCAGCCGTTGAGATTTATTCAAATTATATTATATTTAATATTTAGTTAACCTATTCTGCCCTACAAATCCTAAACACATCTTTTTTTAAATTGTGAAATCTGCAGTGAAGTGTTGTTTTAGTTTGAGTCTTAATCATATTTAATTTTTTTTAGTTTGCATGTTAATTTTAGTTACTTGCAAGTAATGGTTCATGTGCTTTTGTCATTTTATTATTATTATTTGTTGTTGTTTTTAAATATTGCTCTTTAGGTTTAATCTATTTTACTTTACGTTTTAGTTATTTATTTCCAGTTAATAGTTTTAGTTCTACAACATAAACTTAATTCAGTATATTGTCAACTAATATTTATGTTTTATTTGAGCTTTTTCAATAAACAGTAATATTTTTGGTTTCATTTGGTGACGTAGTAAGTTACATTGTACTTACTCATATAAGAAGCGAGTAATGTTAACTACATGTACATACTATAGTGTTAGGGTTTGGTTTTGGTTTATTTACTTATAATTATGCATGTAGTAACTACGTCACTTTAAAATAAAGTTTTACCATATTTTTAATTTAGTTTACTATAATAACCCTGCTGCAGTAAATATAAGATCCACTTTAACACAAACTTTAAAGCCATTTTTGTTTTGCCTTTGTATGGCTGTATTATCTTTGCATTTCTCAAATGAACACCCACACATTTATGGAGAAATAAATGCCATTACACCTAAAATTTATAAATACCTTTTATTAGCTCTCACTTTCGTGCAACACAATGCGATGTTTAAATCATGTGTGTAATCATGTCAGAATAGGATTTTTTCGTTTACTTGCACAAGTGGGCATCATTAATTATTACCATTTCAGCCACTTGCGCTTCCGTGTTTTACATTGCTTACATGTATGGCAGTGCCTGTACACATAAGAGATGGCAAGATTGCAAGAAAAGTTTTTCTCGTATCATGTAAAATGCCCTTTAAAGTCAACATGAAACAGCATTCCCAACCCTATTTACTTTATCTTGAATTGACTCAGTGGACTACTTGCGCTTTCTACTTATCGCTACTCGGGAGTTTCCAGTAACAGCGTTCAGTGCGCCTACATAGACAATTACTCATGACAACGCAGATTATTACTACGTTTTTTGGCTGTCAACTGATTAAAACAATGAATCATGATCTCTGCTTTAGCATGCATTATCTTGAACCTGCTGAAATGTTCCTATAAATATATTTTCTTTCAATTCAGAGTAATAAATCAATATATTTCCCCCACTAACCTGCAGCAGTGCTCGTCTTCTCATTAACAGCATTTTTCTTTTACTGAATATATTTCATACCTGTTGAGTTTACATTTTTAAATTAATTTGAATGATAAGGATTGCTTGTGTGCATTGGTGCTCTTATTCCAGTCTTTTAAAATAGTTTAATATTAATGCGCACGATTAAATAAATCTAACAATATTTGATATTTAATTCATCTTTAACGGTAATGCATTGACAGCGCTACTACTTTGAATAAAAATGATTAATTCTGTCTTAAACGTAAATACAGTGAAATGACTGACAATGAAAAATGAGACAGATTAGTGATTAAAATATTTAATAAAAAGAAATGTTTGTACTGATCGTATACATCAGGTCACACACTTCAGCATCGCGGTCACTAGTTTAGGCGAGCTCTGACGACCTGTGGTTTTCTCAGATCAGCTTGGGTTGGATTAAAACATTACACTGTAGTCATCAGAATATCTCTTCTCCTGTCCATATTTTTAAATCATCTTGCTGACACTCATTTAGGGAAGCGTTTAGTCAACTAGGTGACAGCACATTGAAAAATATACATAACCGGAAACAAATGTGTTGCACTCTTTCAAAACGGAAGTGCGTCACGAAGCTCAGCGCAAGTAGTCCACAGAGGTCAAATCTGAGCTTGTGGTCAGATATGTGGAGATGTATGGAGGATATAAATGTAAAATTAGGCCATATTTTGAGACTCTCCCTGCTGGGAAACAAGACAGTGGCTAGCTCAAATTCACTCAACAAATCCCAAAGCTATAATGTGACCGATTAGTCGAGGAGAATAAGACCAGGAACATGCAAAGTAAATGGGGTGCATTTTGATTTCATGTTGACTGTGTAAGAGAAAAATGAGAAAAGAAAATGCCAGTTCAAATGAATGAAATCTCACAATGAAGATGATGCCCTCTGGTAGACAGATCTCCCGTGCTTTTTTTTTTTTTTTGGTATTGAACTAGGTGTAAATGTGCTGGTTAAGTGCACTCATTTGTGTTAAATGTAACTGTACATGCTGCACTCGGATGGTGGTGGAAGAGCTTTTTAAATAATCATTTAAATAGTGTTTTTCTTGTCAGAATTAAGTTTGTTGTTAAATCAACTTACTAACTCTCTTTATTGCACTATTTTCCTGAAAGAGACCAATTCTTCTTAAAACAGGCACGGAAGAAAGACTCTGAGAAAGCTCTGAAATGTCAGAGTGGATCAGAGGAGCAGATGGAGATGTCAGATAAAGGCCGAGACAGGCTGTCTGAAGAAGTGGAGGAACGACATCGCAGAAAAGACAAGAAGTCCTCCAGACCGAGAAGCCTATCAAGATCACGTTCAAAGGAAAGGTACTTTCATTTGACGTTTGTCATTTTGATTTGATTTCATTCATGCAAAGTGTCAGTATGTGAAGGCTTAGATGTGAATTAATGTTTTCCCCGAAGACGACATCACGGTCGAAACTGGGACAAAAGAAGATCTCGCTCACGCAGTGGTGAACGGCGATCGAGGAGTCGCGAGAAAAAGAGACGGGCCAGGTCTCGCTCAAACTCCAGAAGCAAACACAGACATCACAGCAGGAGCCGGAGCAAGAGCAGGTGGACAAAGATTTTGTGTTTGGGATCTTTTTTGTGAGTGAAACTGAATGAAAATGCTGATTTGTGCTTAAACCGTGAGATGGTCCGATTTTATCTAGGGAGAAGAAGAAGAGGACAGAGAAAGCGCGGAGAAAAAGTCGCAGTCGGTCAGTTAGCCCTGTGACCTTCAGGGGTAGAAACACAGCCATGGATGCTCAGGAAGCATTGGCTAGAAGGTAGAGTGACATCTGTTGCCTGGAAGCACAAAATAAACTATTTGGACTTTATACACAGTATATAGCAGAAGTGAGTACGCACCTGTGCAATATTACTTCAAATCACCATGAAATCAAAATGTGCCCTCATAATCTTTAATGAAAATAATTTCCCCTCCCTCTTGCAGTGACATCTCCCTTTTCTTCTCTGATGATGTGTTTACTGGCGAGAGGGCGGGGCAACCTGTCACTCACATGAGATCCACCAATAGCAAACCACCACCATCCAATCAATTCCCAATAGACAAAATCAAGTCCCGTCCTACTTTTTTTTTTTTTCTTGCCCTAGAAGCCATTTCACTCGATATACGTCACAATAGGGAAGAAAAGACTCTCGCATCTTCTTTTTCATGTTGACTTATATCACCTTACAGTAATTGCATTACTTCTAAGTTAAACAGGTCTCCTCACTTTTTTTTTTTTTTGCATTGAGTTTGTACCTTGTGGCCTGTTTTTTCAAGGTGTTTGTTTTCGATTGTTCATCAGAGGAAATACTTGTCAAATTATAATTAAAGCGGGTTTACTCACTTTTGTTGTATACTGTGTATGTGTAGATATACTCCCAGAAAAGGTTATAACTGTTTGATTAGAAATTTTGTCAAAATCGGTTGTATTTCCACTCTACCTAACAGGTCGGATTCACGAAACATTCTTAATTTCTAACTTAAGAAAAAAATATCATATTTTGTTTTCCCAAAAACCTTTCCCAAGAATGTTCTTATTTTTTTTTTCTTAAGATTGTTCTTAAAGATCAAATTTAAGTATTTGTATTCCTGAAAAAGAATGTTCTTAAAAATCATCATAAATAACTTCTCAAAGGTAGGATAACTTCCAACCTGGCTTAAATACCCAAATGTAAGATGTTTAATGAATTTATTGGGTTGTTTCAAATATTAAGCAGTACAACAGAACACTAGCTAAATATAATGCATATTACTGAATAGTACCATGAATGTGGACGAGCACTCAGTCTGAAGTGACACCGATTGATCATTTGCGCGTATATGACGCACTCAAGAGGAGTCTCAAGAGGAGTCTCAAGAGAAGCCAGGTTATCCTGCTATATTTTTCTGTTGATATGAAAAATCAGGTACTTCTAGCAACATAACGGGTGAATGATGTATATGATGTATATTACGATGTTATGATGAATTTGCCTTTCTCCACTGACGTACTGAGTTGTTCAAAGCGTTTCTAAGGATGCTGATTTTTAGAAGGCAGACTGAGATGGCGATTGGGGACATGGTTTGTGTAACATTATTAGCTGTTTGATAAAATAGTCAAGCAAAGGCTAATCAAATCAATTACCGTTATGTGTCCGACGTTGTAAAGAGCGATACCATTGTGCAGCGTTTACCTCAGTAAAGTTGAATGTGAATCTCTGAGCTTGTCGGAGTGGAGGCGGAGCTAATTTGAATATTCATATATCCACGTTTACTAAATGAAGCAAGGGTAACGTTAGTTACACTCAAGCTATTTGAAGCATGAAGAACTTTTTTTCACAGGAAAAAACTTTTAAATATGTCATTTTGGTGATCAAAGATGAGTTTTAAGGGATAAAATTATCGACTACAGGGGGACTTTAAAATAGCGATTTTAATTTGACATGACGCATAAAAAACACGATGCTGAGTGATTAACTCTCGTCAAACCAGTCGCGATGAAAATTTGTACGCTTATTATATCTACTGTAATCTGCAGGCAGTGCAAAAAGACGGGCTTTGAGGTGTTTTTCATTCAGCGAGTCTTCAGCAATTAAGCCAAATAACAAATCATTCAAAATAGCATATCAATCAAATAACACCTTTCATTTTCTTCTTAAGTAAAAAATTTTTAAGATGTTCTTAATAAAATATTTGAGAACTTCTTAAGAATTTTTAGGAACATTCTTACTAACTTTTTTGTTTTAAAGAATTGTCTTTTCTTAAGATTTTCGTGAATCCGGCCCCAGTTTATTAAAACAACATACACTGAACAAAATTATAAATGCAACACTTTTGTTTTTGCCCCCATTTTTCATGAGCTGAACTCAAAGATTTAAGACTTTTTATACATACACAAAAGGCCAATTTCTCTCAAATTTTGTTCACAACTCTGTCTAAATCTGTGTTAGTGAGCACTTCTCCTTTGCCGAGGAAATCCATCCACCTCACAGGTGTGGCATATCAAGATGCTGATTAGACAGCATGATTATTGCACAGGTGTGCCTTAGGCTGGCCACAATAAAAGGCCACTCTAAAATGTGCAGTTTTACTGTATTGAAAAAACAAAAAAGGTTGTTGATTGTGGCCTGTGGAATGTTGGTCCACTCCTCTTCAATGGCTGTGAGAAGTTGCTGGATATTGGCAGGACCTGGAACACTGTCGTATACGCCGATCCAGAGCATCCGAAACACATTCATTCATGCTGACTGCAGGAATGTCCACCAGAGCTGTTGCCCGTGAATTGAATATTCATTTCTCTACCATAAGCCGTCTCCAAAGGCGTTTCAGAGAATTTGGCAGTACATCCAACCGGCCTTACAACCGCAGACCATGTGTAACCACACCAGCCCAGGACCTCCACAACAGCATCTTCACCTCCAAGATCGTCTGAGACCACCCGGACAGCTGCTGCAACAATCGGTTTGCAGAACCAATGAATTTCTGCACAAACTGTCAGAAACCGCCTCAGGGAAGCTCATCTGCATGCTCGTCGTCCTCATCGGGGTCTCAACCTGACTGCAGTTCATCGTCGTAACCGACTTGAGTGGGCAAATGCTCACATTCGATGGCGTCTGGCACTTTGGAGAGGTGTTCTCTTCACGGATGCCCCCCCGCACCCCAATAGAGAAAACTGCACATTTTAGAGTGGTATTTTATTGTGGCCAGCCTAAGGCACACCTGTGCAATAATCATACTGTGCAATAATCATGCTGTCTAATCAGTATCTTGATATGCCACATCTGTGAGGTGGATGGATTATCTCGGCAAAGAAGTGCTCACTAATACAGATTTAGACAGATTTGTTAACAATATTTGAGAGAGAAAGGCCTCTTGTGTACATAGAAAAAGTCTTAGATCTTTGAGTTCAGCTCATGAAAAATGGGGGCAAAAACAAAAGTGTTGTGTTTATAATTTTGTTCAGTGTATAAGCAACTTACTGTCTCAACAACACCTCACAAACCTGTAGTCTCTTCATACTAATGTGAACACTGCTAAATGCTTTGACATTTGTTGAAGTAGAGATGAACTTTTCTGAGAGGGTTTTATCAAGCTGATTGTTAGTACAATAAGCAGGCTTTCACACTGGCAGTTTAGTCTGATAAAGAGCACGGTTTGCATGACAGATTAGTTATGTTGAATGCTGATGTGCGGATCAGCAGGCAGACTTGCTATTTTTCCATCCAAAGTTGCGAATTTAACTTGTGCGCAAAATATGCATATCACACAAAACGTTTGGCAATAAAGCACCATTTCTGTCCTGTTTGTTCAAGAGAACAAAACTCTTAACTTCCTGGGAAGTTGGTGCAAGATATCCGTTATAAAAATGGAAGCTGCTGCTTTCGGGAAAGCAACGGTGGCTTTTTTCCATGCATCATAAATCACTTGAGCCTCAAAGCACACAGATGCAACACAATAAACTGATTTCATATTGACTTGCGTTCGGATGCCTGGCGTATGAAAACACAATCCTGAGAGACACTTTCTGATGACAGACTTTGGCTCTGGCATTTCAGAATGATCAAACCAACATTTGAGAAGCTGTGCAATGAAACTGATCTGCTGGTTAGTCCAGTTATCCAATCACGTCCTCTGTTTATTCAGTAAATAATGGATAAAATTATCTGCCTCAATTGAGCGCATGTGCATTTTTGTGCATTTCCATCCAGCGTTTTTGCGTTTTTAATGAATTGCTTACAATCAGCTGTATCCTCAAAAAAAGACTTTGATCAGCATAAAGCCACCTTCCCCCAGAGATCTGTTAACCCTCAGACGTTCTTCGTTTCGGAGTCACATCCTGGGCCTTCCCGGTCAGAAGTGACCGGACACCTAAAAATGAAACTTCCTCCATCCCAGTAAAACCAATGCAATTTATTTTTGTTCTATAATATTTATTCTTTTTAATTTAGTATTTTGAGACAATTTGATTGAACGTATTAATATTTATGCAATATTTATGGTACATTTTTTGCCATTGAAAATAATGATTTTTTTATTTTATTTTTATTTTATTTTTTATTTTTCTTCTATGCAGTATTTTCGGTTAAAATAGAGACTAGGCTTTCAGGAAAAAAAAAAATCAATTTATTAAACATAAAATTAAATAAATCATGTTATTGCATGGGTTTACCACTAGATGCCTGTATAGCTCTAAATGGAGATGTTTGTGAATTCTAGTTGTTTTTGGACCAAATTACTTTTAAGATGTGGATTGTATGTATTTTTTTTAGAAATTCTCAAATAATACTTTTTGCCAAGGTTTATAACATTTAATTAATTATTATTTTAATAATTTTAATAATTATTATATTAATTATATATATATATTATTATTTTAATTATGTTATGTTTTTCACTCTTGATGTTTTAGAGTTTCACCCCTTCATTGCTGAGCACTTTTTTCTTCATCGTGGCCGATTTGTAGATAATTTTTGTGTTTTTGTCAATTTCCCATTCATTTCCTATGGGGGTCATTTTTGACCGAAGACCAAAATCGTCACTATTTTGTTTACGACCACTTAGCATGCTCGGATCATGAACTCAATTTTTTTGTGTGTTCACATACCTAATGCCAGAAAAGTCACCAAGTTTCGTAACATTCCGATGAAGCTGTGATTTTTAAAAATTCAAACAGATTTTTTGTAATCTGAATTTATTGGTGTGTATGTGTATAAAAGTGTGTTTGTATGTGTGTGTGTGTGGGTGGGTGTGATTTTTTTTTGCACTCTTGATGTTATAGAGTATCACCCCTTTACTGCGGTGTACTTTTTTTTAGAATCGTGGCCGATTTGTAGATTGTACAGACAAAAATTCAGAGATTTTTTGTGTTTTTGTAAATTTCCCATTCATTTCCTATGGGTCGGTCATTTTTGACCGAAGACCACAAGTGTGACTATTTTTTTACGACCACTTAGCATGCTCGGATCATGAGCTCAATTTTATTTTGTATTCACATACCATAAAAGTCACCAAGTTTCATAACATTCCGATGAAGCTGTGATTTTTAGAAAATGACCGAAGACCGTCTGAGGGTTAAGTTACGTCTTGGGTCTGTTATTGCGCATAATGGAACCAAATTAAAAGAATATATATATATATATATATAGCGACCTGCATTGCGCACGCTTTGCCCGTTTGTAATCCAAAATGAATGGAAATGCACCACTGTTCTACAGAATCCAATGGGTTTGAAAGCAGACCAACTGTGCCGGGAATAATCACACTCTGATTCGGACCGCAGCAGACGTGCCCAGTGTGAAAACCACCTCTAGCAGATCAGTGACGTTTAAACTGCTTTCTAGTCGTCATGTTCAGTAAACACATTCACTTCACACTCTTAGGTTGGAGAGAGCAAAGAAGCTTCAAGAACAGAAAGAAAAAGAATTGTTGGAGAAACGGCAACAAGAGCAAGCAGCAGGCAAGTCACTCCCACAAGTCACATGGCTATTGGTGTAATGTCTTGACATCTGACCCGCTCCGTCTGATGTTCTGTTGGTTGTTTCTCCACCAGCGGCTGCTCCACCGTTGAGTGATCCGGTCACCACTGCTCCCAGTCCAGCGCTGAACGTCGCAGCTCTGCTGGCCTCGGGCACACAGGTCACTCCCCAGATCGCAATGGCAGCTCAGATGGCAGCGCTTCAGGCCAAGACGCTGGCCGAGACTGGCATTGCTGTGCCAAGCTACTACAATCCCTCAGCGGTCAACCCAATGAAGTTTGCCGAGCAGGAAAAGAAGAGGAAAAAGTTGTGGCAGGGGAAGAAAGAAGGGGTGAGGACAAGAGTTGCTTGCTATGTGAGGGATAATGTACATCCAGACGGTTGTTATCACAGAATAAACCCGGACAGGGAGATCAGGATCATCAGCCTGAAGGGGTTTATTCTGCGATAACAACCGTCTGGATGTACATAATCCAGTTATTACATGGCTACTTGTCACATAACTAAACATTTAGAAATGAAATATTGATCTGAGTCAAAATATTTTAATAGCTCTTTAAACGCAAAGCTTCCGCGGAGAGAGCAGTTGCTAGAGCGGCAAGTTCAAACTAGACGGATATTTAAGGATACGGTATAGTCATACCACTTATTACACTGCATTTCACCACATAAATAATTATGGGGATAAGAGATATTGATTTGATATGAAACTGTTTTAAAATCATACCTGTTTTATATATCTTAAAATCCATTAACAAAATGGCAGCAGCTGCGTTTGTACGAAACAAGTGAGTCTGCGATACCCGGATGATATAATTAAATAACTTTACACAAAATATTGATTTGAGTTTTAATATTTTATTAGCTCACCAAACGCAAAACTTCCACGAGGAATAAAAGTTCCTAGCAAGCGTAAAGCGCTGACTTCTGTTACCTAGATGCGCCTGTGTTGTTAGGTTTTACTAGAGGCGTGTAATAAATAGATTTTAGCACAGGGTTGTTGCCAAGTTATATTGTTAAATTGTCAGGTTATCAGTTAAATTGTTTGGATGGGTCGTTAGTTCTGTTTCTTACATTATACATTTTATACAATACAAAACAAACACAGTCAGATGTGGGGGGTTGTAAATGCACATAAATATAAATAGCTGTAAATCTTAAACGGAATTTGACAATTTTGTAAGGCTAGGCCGCTATAGTGCAATATAACATTAAAATGGTTTAAATGGAAAATTAAAATTCTGCCATCAATTACACAGCCTCATTTCGTTCCAAACCCTTAAGTCTTTTATTCATTTTCACGACACAAATGAAGATATTTTTAATTAAATCTGAGATTTTTGTCTCAACCTTGAAAGTCTGTTCAGCCAAAACACTGATGCTTCAAAACGTTCATAAACAGATTGTAAAATAAATCCAAATGACTGGAGCGGTTTAATTCAAGTCTTCTGAATTGCTTTAGATGGTGACCAGATTTGATTTAGGCTTTTATTAACGTTTACGTGTAATATCTCTTTAAACTACAGAACCGTTCAGTTGAATTCAAAATGAGCATGCAGTGTCGTTGTCTGTCTTGTTGGACTGTGTTAGTGTTGCAAAAAACATGCCAATACAATACAGTTTAAGAACATGATACACATTTATTTAAAATATTATTTATTTATTATTTACATATTATTTAAACAAAGTTTTAGTATTAGCATTTAATTCAGACAGAAATAGTTATTAGTAACAAATATCTTGATCGATTTATTGCATCCTAAAATTATAAAAGTACACATTTCTTACAAAATCAAACACTCCAGTTCTTTTGATTTGAAAAGAAATCGTGCTTTACTTTTACTCTATGAAGGCCTGTTTTCTCTTTATGATCATTGGTCAATCTCTTAAATGGGTTCAACTAACAAACAACCAACAATTGAAACAGAGATAATCATGACGTTTGATCGTAAAAGCACCCTAACAGGAAGTGCTCCGTTGGAGAGACGTCATGTAGTTTAACATTCATAATCTTGTCTCATAACTATAGCCTTTATTAATGGCAGACAATAAAGAATGCTGAATTTTGTAAATACAGTTTTGAGCTTGATAAATTATTTTCATTATGTAATAGTATGTTTTCAGAGCATTTCAGACATGGAAGCATTTGTCCAGTATTAATATATGTTTATGTTGTAGGACAAGTCACAGACAGCTGAGCTTTGGGAGAAGCTGAATTTTGGCAATAAAGACCAAAATGTGAAGTTTCGCAAGCTTATGGGAATTAAAGTAAGTGTTTTCCTGTATTAAATATTACATTATCTATTTAAAATGTTCTTAATATGTGAAATGGAGAATTCTCATATTTTAAAGGGGTCCTATTATGCTTTTTTAACCCTCTGGGGTACTTCATTTTAGACTTACACTCAGGACCCTCGGGTCAAAAATGACCCGGAGGGCGGCATTAAGATACATTTTATTTGAGTAAAATCAATGAAATATATTTTTGTTCAATAATATTTTTCTTTTCTTTTTTGGTGTTTTGAGATAATTTTATGATTTATAATTAATATTTATGCAATAATTAAGACCCATTTTTCCCCATTGAATATAATAAAAAATTTATATATATATATATATATATATATATATATATATATATAATTAAAAAAAAATTTTTATTAAAGCTGTATTTCATTTTAGAGTCAAGTCTAGGCCTCATGAAAGCAATTTTTGAAATGAGATCGGAGCCATCTGGTGGACACACTGAGCATTTTTATCAAGCAATAGCACATTTTTACCACTAGTGGATTTACAGCTCTCTGTAGAAACCTATGGTAGAAACACTTTAGTGATTTTTTCACATATTGTTTAATTTTTTTCAGGTTGTTGATTTGAATATATAATAACAGATTCTCAAAGACTATTTTTGTCATTTAAAAAAAAAAAAAAAAAAAAAAAGTTTTTGGTTGGTTTAAATGGTAATTTGAAGTGGCAGTTTTACTTTATAATACAGTCAAACCTGAACATTGCATTATAAAGAGAACAAATGGAAAACATTTTGTCACCCATTGTTTTAAGAGATTCACCCCTTCACTGTTGTGTGCTTTTTTTCTGCATCCTGGCTGTTTTGTAGATTGTATGCACAAAAAAACTCTATTTTCAAATTTTTGCCAATTTCCCATTCATTTCCAATGGGGGTCATTTTTGACCCGAAGGTCCTGAGTGTGACTTTTTTTTTTTTACGACCACTTAGACTTTTCAAATCCTGTCCCCAATTTTTTTGGGTGTTCATATACCAAGTACCAAAAAAGTCACCAAGTTTCGGACCATTCCGATGAAGCTACAATTTTTAACATTTTTTTTAAAAACGCATCGGAACATTTTTGTCCCGAAGTACCCCAGAGGTTAAACATGTTCAACTTTCTTTAGTCTGTAATGTTGTTGTTTGAGTATGAAAAAGGGTCTGCAAAGTTACAAAGCACAAAGTCACTCCAGCGGGAGTTATTCTCTCTATATCAGTGTCACTGTTTCTGAACTCCCTGAAACGCCTCCATTGTAGTCTTCAGTTTTCTTCCGGGAACAAACACGTCACAAAATTCCTCATTTAAATAATTCCTGCCCAAGGCAAACATAGAATAAGGTTGAGTTAGTAGTGTATTGAAACGGGTGGCTGTGGTAAAAGGCGGGACATTTACCAAACTCGCTCGAAGCAGTTCAAGCCCAAAAACAAAATCAAGACTTTGAAAAAGGGCATAATAAAGTCCTCTTTAATATAGAAATGTTCTGATTGATTGTGTTCCCCATAGGGTGAAGAGGAAGGCACTTCATCAGGAGCTACTAACGAAGAAGGTCTTAAAACCTTGCAGCAGCAGGAAGAGATGTTTCGCAACCTGGACGTCCAGTACGAGATGGCCCGCTCACAGACACACACGCAGAGGGGAATGGGCCTTGGTTTCTCCTCCTCTTTTTCATCAAGGGGCATGGATGCTGTCTGAACATTCTGTACTTGTGCTTCTCGTCTCTGTAAATTCTGGCCGGTGTTGCCCCTGTAAATCTGGTTTGTACGTGCTTGTAGAGAATGCTGGTGCATTAGCTTGCATGTATAATTCATCAGACCTGTTGTTTTATTCATTTTGCAAAATTCACATGTAAATACAGTTGATTGCACAAACATATATTGTTGCTTGGTCTCTGACAAGTGTTTAATATTGTAAAGCTTCCATTTGGATTTTGGGTGGGGAATGTGATTGTATATTTCACTGTGTTTGTACTGAAACTCCCTGAAGCTAGCGATTCCTGAAATATCAACGACCGGCGACGGGTGTGAATCCATTTCTGCCTTGGGTACTAGGGGCGATGCTATATTGTTAATGCTTTATTGCTTTTAATAAAATGGTTACTACGGTACATAAATATATTAAGGGCACAAATTAACATGGCAGACATTTCATTAGTTTCGGATGGGAAACAAAAAACCACACCAATTCATTTCACACTTGAAACAATAAAACAATTTATCATGTAAAATACTTCTCATCATAAATGAAGATCAAACATTTTTGATATTTGGCTTGTTCTTATTACGTTAAGAGAAACTGACATTAGAACAGCTGAAATCCCCACTTTTAACACCATTTGTGCGATCTTAGATTATTGCAGTGTTACTTGTGATTCTTAATGGGCAAGTTAAACCTAGCTAGCTTAACTTAATAAAATATGCATACCATCCAAATAGTTAGAAATAGCTGCTGCTGTGTGTGTTACAGCTGAAGGTCAGCAACACACCTATATTTGCACTTGTTTAGTGTGGTCATTAGAGAGTTCCCGAATAAAGGTTTCCTAATTTTTACCTTTTGGCTGATGTAATCTTAGTGGTAAACTGACGCTCAAATAGACCAACCTATTAAGTTAAATAGGTGGACACAACCATAATGATTGATATACTAAATGTAATAATGGGTCTGATTTAGTTCCCTCATAATGTTTGTTGAACCGTTTCAATCAAAATCCAAAATCAAATTGAAAAACATTTAAAATTCATCTTCAAACTGAAGTGCCTCATTTAACATGAATATACATGATTATTGTGATTACTATATTAGAAGTGTATAAGACTAAAATTAAATCAACTTAGTGCACTTTTGGGAAATTATAATTATGGATTACTATAAAATGAATACAAAATGTCTTTTTTCCCTTATAAATTGAGTTCATTATGCATTTCTCATAACATTATTAAAAACATTGTATTCACAATTTTATTACATTTTGATAAAAAATTATTACATTATGAACATTTGTTACATTTGACTTGCATTATGTGCAGTTATTACATTCTGAGTTGCTTCAGCCATAATGGATAAACCGCTCTTCTAGTCTCAAACTTTTTTTAACGGACTGGTCTTACATCAGGCGATATTATTGACTGATTTGATTTGTGGATGTGATTGTTCTGTGGAAAGCTGAAATGGTGGCCACATACACCTTTAAAGTAGATGTACGCCCTTTATCTTATTATTATGTCTTGTAAAAATGATAAGATGACACAGACAGCACATCTCACCGGGTCTTCATTTTTCCTCCAACACAAAGACCATTTACTTTAAAGCATAGAGGCACCTGGTCGAAGGGGCTCTTGTTTCTGCAATCGTGTCCAAAGCAATATGATTATTGTCTGGCCGTCCCGCTGACCTACCAGATATGCAATATCGTGCCCATCGCCTGAGATAGCAGGTCCCTGCTTAACAGAATCACCCACGGGGGGGCTAACAGGAGATTTATTAACTTTGGAAACCATGGATGGTTGGGCCAGTTCGTTGCAACCAACAATATCACCCAGAGACATGGAGTCTGTGATACATGCTTTTATTTCATCAAGATTAGACTACTGTAATGTACTATACTTGGATGTCTCACAGTCCCTACTGTCACGTCTTCAACTGGTCCAAAATGCTGCTGCTAGATTGCTGACAGGAACAAGGAAAAGAGAACATATTTCGCCAGTATTGTTCTCTCTCCATTGGCTTCCAGTTAAACATCGTATTGAGTTCAAAACACTGTTGTTTGTTTATAAGGGATTGCATGGACTGGGTCCTCCATACATCTCTGATCTCCTTTCAGCCCACCATAATGTTTTTAGAAATCTCAGGTCAACCAGTAGTCTACAGCTGACTGTCCCGAGGACACGTCTAAAATTAAAAGGAGATCGTGCCTTTTCTGTGGCTGCTCCACAGCTTTGGAACAATCTCCCATCTTATGTAAAGACTGCACCTTCATACATTGATTTTAAATCGTTGCTTAAAACCCATTTATTTACTGCTGCTTATTGTCATAAGCGGCTGTAGTGGTATTGCATTGTTTTGTGCATTGTTTATTTGTGGTTTTATGGATACTTGTCTACACTTTGTACAGCACTTTGGCCAACAGCTGTTGTTTTTAAATGTGCTCTATAAATAAATTTGACTGACTGACAATGAATCCCTTCCCTGATCTTGTGCAGCACCCCATGATCTTGGTCAGGGGAAAAGCAAATTTGCCTCCCTTTGGCCAGCGACTCGATAGAGCATCCCCTTCCAAGGAGTCATTGGTCAGCGAACAGAACTGTGCGTTCAACTCTGAGGTCCTCTCCGCGGACTGCTCCGCCTCTGGACAGCATGTCTGCAACGCAGTTCAGACGACGAGACGTGGACTGCTCGTATCGTCAGGAAGCACTTGTCTGCCCATAAGAATAAAAGTCTTAGCATCTGAAGGAGAGGTCTTCTCGGGTCCTAAAAACTGTACCCGACCCGAATCACTACTTACCCGAACCCGACGTGCATAAATTATTTTTTTTAAAGAAAAACCCGACCCGAGACAGACCCGATAAAATTAGACCCGAGTCCGACCCGACCTGACCCCATTTCCTTTAGAACCCGACTGGACCTGAACGGCATTTACATTGTGCACAGCCTGCAGCCCTGCGTTTCTCAAAAATGCACATTTAGACGCGCAAGTGTAAGCGTGCCGAAGTGCTAAAATGTCAATCACACTGTAACCCATTACGTCCTATAAAATTTGGCATAATGTTATTTACCGGACCATACGATGATTAGAACCACCATTCGTTTTCCGGATTTTTTTTTTCGGAATTTCTGTTATCGCCTCCATGCTTTTCTGACAGTGTCGCGTATTTTTAAAATTGATTGACAGGCCTGGCTAAACGACAATTCAAATACTTGCATTTAGTCAAACATCCATCCACATGATGGCGCACTAGTTCTTCTTGGCAAAGGGAGGGGTTGGTTTATGTGGAGCGAGCAACTGATTAAATAAATGCGGAGGTAACCCTGCTTATGCTTATAGCCCATTTGCACGTAGAAGCGCGGATTCGCTCTCTCACTTAGAAAAAGTGAGAGAACGGTGTCATAGAGTTGTTTTAAATACTGCAATTTTCTTAAATGCCCAACATAGTTTAAAAGAATTCGGGTCTTCTCGGGTCCATTTGGAAAAGGCATATTTATTTTAAATTACCCGAGACCCGAGGCCACTAATACTGAACCCGACCCGTGTCCGAGACACTCGTCGGAGTTTTGGACCCGAACCCGCTCGGGTCTCGGGTCGGACCTCGGGTTTTCGGATCCAAGTGGACCCGTGAAGACCTCTAATAATCTGAAGCTGGCGAGAATGAATACCACCTTGGTGATTGATGTACGATACCGCTGCCCAGTTGTCCATTTGAATGAGAACATGGCGTTCCTTCAAGAATGGAAAGAAGTGCTGCAAAGCTAAAGATACTGCCTTCAGTTCAAGGAAGTAGATATGCAGCTTCGACTGCGCACTCGTCCAAGTGCTGTAAGCCAGACGGCTCCCCAGCCCATCAATGAGGCATCCGTCATCATGACTTTTCATCTGACCACTCTGCCCACGGAAACCCCTCGCTCGTACATGGTCCTGTCGAGCCAAAGGGGTTAATGTGCGCATACAATTGCGAGTCACCATAACGTGCAGCTGGCCACTCTGCCACGCAAGGTGTGGCACACAGGCTTTTAGCCAAAGCAAAAGCGTCCTCATATGCAGAAGTCCCAGCCGGCACACGACCGCTGCAGCTGCCATCAGTCCCAGTAACCTCTGAAAACACTTCAGAGAAACGGATCCCCTGGCTTGAATATGGCGAGGGCTCTGAGCATGGACTGCACACGCACCTGAGACAGGTGGCTCGCATTACACGTGAATCTAGGTTCAGCCCCAAAAACCCAATGCTCTGCCAAGGTTGAAGTACGCTTTTCTTCGCGTTTAGAATTTAGCGTTTAGCCCCAGAGATTGTAAGGGGTCCAGAAGCTGATGCTTGTGGCTTTCCAACACATCCGGATACTGGGTATGATAAGCCAGACATCTAGATAATTTAGAATGCAAATTCCACTCTGCCTGAGAGGAGAAAGCGCCACGTTCATGCACTTTGTAAAGGCACTCGGAGCTAGGGCCAGCCCGAAAGGGAGGACTTTGAACTGATACACAGCGTCCTCAAACGCAAATCTCAGAAAGCTTCTGTGACGAAAGGCTATTTGGATATGAAAATCAGTGTCTTTTAAATTCACTGACACTAACCAGTCCCCAGGTTGAATGTGCACATGGATCTGTTGCACAGTAATAATTTTAAACAAGCTTTTCACCAGTGCACGATTCAGCTGTCTCAGATCCAAAATGGGCCGGAGACCTCCGTCGTTTTTGGGGAATAGAAAGTAGAGGCTATATAGACCGCCTTCCCTGTGCTTTGGTGGCACTATCTCTATCGCCTGCTTCGCCAGGAGAGACTGAATCTCTGCTCGCAAAATAGACGCATCCCGATCTGGCACCACTCACAGCATCATGCCACAGAAGCGGGGTGGTCTGCGTACAAAACTAAAGAGCCGTTCACAATTGTATTCATTACCCACTCCGACACCACCGGAAGCGTGCGCCACACGTGACACAGCTTGATGGCGGGATCCTGGTTATACTGTGCAAATGAGAATGAGGAGGAAAAGACCCCTTTTTCTGAGATGTTTGCTTTTATTGTTATTGCAAACTTTATTGGCAAACCATTATTCAACCCCCCACTCCTGTCGCCTGAAACCAGCAAGGGATGGGTGTAACACAGCAAGACGAACTCTCTTGCTCTGTGATCCTCCTCCGCTTCGATGGGGAAAAGCACAGGAACGAGGTTGGAGCTCAGTCGTAGGGTTTGATTGGTGGGGTTCCTGCCTGAAGTATCTGGACTTGGGCTTCACGGCAGGCTCCGGGTCCTTCTTCGAGCCTGAAGAAGATGCAGCATATGGTGTGTCTTGCCGCTAAGATGAGACGAGCGCTGCTCTGAGAAAGATCTGGAACTGAAGCCCGCTTAGGCACAAAGTGGCTCAGCGCCTTAGATTGCTTTTGCGCCTCCAAAAACCTTTCTGAGAAAGATCTCCAAAAACCTTTCTGAGAAAGATCCCAACGACAAACCCTGGCGAAGCAGGCTCATCCTGCTGGATCTGTCTGCTGCTTTTGACACAGTTAACCACCAGATCCTCCTGTCAATCCTAAAGATGAAGGGCATCTCAGGAACTGCACTCCAATGGTTCGAGTCTTACCTCTCAGGTAGGTCCTTTAGGGTGTCGTGGAGAGGTGTGGCATCTAAGACCCAACATCTAGCTTCTGGGGTGCCTCAGGGCTCAGTGCTTGGAGCACTCCTCTTCTCCGTCTACATGACATCACTAGGATCTGTGATTCAGAAACATGGCTTTTCCTATCATTGCTACGCTGATGACACGCAACTCTACCTCTCATTCCAGCCTGACGATCCGACGGTAGCTGCTCGTATCTCAGCCTGCCTGACAGACATTTCTGGCTGGATGAAGGACCACCACCTTCAACTAAACCTTGCGAAGACAGAGCTACTTGTGGTCCCGGCCAACCCAACACTTCGTCACAACTTCTCCATTCAGCTAGGCTCGTCATCCATAACTCCATCAAGGTCAGCTAGGAACCTTGGGGTTGTAATTGATGATCAGTTGAAATTCACAGACCACATTGCTAGAACTGCCCGGTCCTGCAGATTTGCCTTGCACAACATTAGGAGGATCAGGCCCTTTCTTACAGAGCATGCTACACAACTCCTTGTCCAAGCACTTGTTTTATCCAGACTGGACTATTGTAATGCTCTCCTGGCTGGTCTTCCAGCTTGCTCTGTCAAACCTCTACAATTGATCCAGAATGCTGCAGCCAGAGTAGTCTTTAACGAGCCAAAGAGAGCACACGTCACTCCTCTCCTCACACAATTCCACTGGTTGCCAGTTGCCGCTCGCATTAAATTCAAGGCACTGACGTTTGCCTACAGAACAACCACTGGCACTGCTCTCTCTTACCTAAACTCATTACTTCAGACTTATGTGCCATCCAGAAACTTGCGCTCTGCTAGCGAATGTCGTCTAATGGTACCATCTCAAAGAGGCACAAAATCTCTTTCTCGGACCTTCACCATGACTGTTCCCTGCTGGTGGAATGATCTGCCTAACTCAACCAGAGCTTCTGAGTCAGTAGCCACTTTCAAGAAACTGCTGAAGACGTATCTTTTCCGGCAGCACTTGATTCAGTAGTACTAACACTTTCTCTTCTATTAAAAAAAAAGAAAGAAAAAAAAAACCTGCACCAAAATTAAACTGAGAGGGGTTATAGCACTTGCATATTGTTGTCCTACTGTTAGTTTAACTGCTTCTATTGTTCTCATTTGTAAGTCGCTTTGGATAAAAGCGTCTGCTAAATGAATAAATGTAATGTAAATCCCACAGCATCGCCAAAGAGACTACAGGGGCTTATGGGCACGTCCAAATGCAGTGCCTTCTACGAATCTTGCATGTCTGTCAGCATGAGCCATAAGTGACACTGAAAAACAACAAGACTGCGTCCAATACATTGAGTTTGTAATACCTTAGTCACCCTGAGCACCAGGTCCAAGCGCAACTTTCCCGAAGGACTCAGAATCCGGACCCCGTTAATCTTAAGCCTGCAGCACCTTGGCTTGAAAAACCTGGAGCACCACCATTGTGTGAATGGCCGATATTACCTGGTTGACTGCCATATACACTTTGTCAGCGATATGGACGGTAGTACGGCACGGATTTGAGGGAAGCGATGGTGTAGATTTCCACCCATGTGCAGCCAGGCAGAGATGCATTTTTGGAAGAAAAACATCCATATTTACAACTTCATGAACTGTAATCACTGGTTCCGGTACGGCCGTACGCGAGTCTAGTTCCAGCGGAAGAGTGACCTCTGACCCGACGCATGATGTATTGATGAACTCGGAAGCGCAGAGGAAAGAACAAAACAAAACACCGGTCACGAATTAGAAGTCTAAAACGAGAATTTTTAAAGAGAAATGTCAGAGGATTTCGATATGAGAGAAGAGGATCTTGAGTTTGTTGCTCAGCTCTATTTGTTTGAACCACGAGAAGCGTTTACTCTCACCTAAGCTTACGCTACATCCTACTTCATATGTCGGGTCGGAGGTCACTCTTCCGCCGGAACACGACTCGTGTACGGCTGTCACAGGAAGCCAGTTTATAAAGTTTTAAATATGGATATTTTTCTTTCAAAAATGAATCGCTACGCTTCAGAAGGCTTTTATTAACCCACTGGAGCCGTATGGATTACTTTTATAATGGATGGTGTGCTTTTTTGGGACTTTTTAAATACATTTAGACTGTTTTGAGCAGTCGTAGGTTTTAAGTTAAAAGTAATTTAATCAAATCCATTGAAGTCAATAGAGTTCATACTAGTAGTTCTCATATGATATGTTCTTAATACATTTCATATAATGATATATTCAAATAAAATTTCTCATAAATATTGATACAAATATTTTCTTGCATTATTTTTATTTATTTTTGCTGTAGTTCTTGTAACATTTTAAATGTCATTTTTTTAATTAATAAAAAGGGGGTAAATGTACAGTAATAATAGCATGATAAAACATGGTAACATTCAAAACTTTTAAAAAAAGGAGAAGTGTGCATTCACTCATTATGAGAAGTTACTGATCAGATACAATATGGTTTTACTTGAAAAATATTAAGTTATAACTGTTTTATAAAAAATTCCACTGGATCCAAACAGACACGGTAAAGCAACAGGTGTATACAGTTTTTTAATGCATTGCAAGGGTTAAATGTATACAAACTATCAAATACGCATATTTTATCTAAACAAAGCATACAATATGTACTTCTGCTTGAAAATGGACATTTCTTCCATATTAGGTTCCTTCTGAAAAAAGGGAGATATTCCATCTCACTGTAAAGCTTCCTTTGCAGGTTTGTTACTTTTATTTTCACTACGCCTCTTCTTCCCCATGTTTAGTAGGTCTGTTTGGTAGGTCAGTTGTAACTATATTTGAGATGTAATGTAAATGTATTTGGATTCTGCCTGTTTTACCAGCTATACTGTGTCTCTCTGATCCATGCTGGATAAAAGCTAATTGATAAACCAAAACATTCTCGTCTAATGCTTCAACACATTTTAAGCTGAGCATGGCAAAAAGGATGTGAAGCTATATCTTCAAGTTAAAAATATGAAGATATGAACTACGAGAGATAGCCATTTTCCTTTTAAATTCTTAATATTTTGGCCTAAAATCACAAGACTTCTTTTTTTATGACCAAATACTACATTTGTGCCCTCAACATGTGTGGAAAAGACACACAAAAAACATTTGACTTTTAACGGTAAACTATTGATCTGGAATAATTTGTTTAAAGGTCCTCAGGTCCTCAATAACTACACTTATTTGCATATTAGACTGGAATACAATACATGGGCCACTCCAGTGATAAGATTGTGATTGGCAAATTCTAGGATAAGCAATAAAATTGGATATTCGCTGTGTCGTTTCCAGTGTTCTGCCTCGTCACTCAGACCCATCCAGTGTGCAAGAAGATTTCGCATTGCCTCTGGGAAAAGTTCAGTTGCCAGCTCCTCTGGAGGTGGCAAGTTCGTAATGTGCTCAATGTGTTGGGTCTTAAAACCTTCAACCCGGTGGCTAATGGTGCTGTTGGCTGCATTGAACTGCTGGCCAAGCCAACCTGCCACAGCTTTTAAAAGACTGCTTGAGTAGATGGAGTAGCTCTTAAAATGAGAGTGAAACAGTGCCATCACAGTATCCGTCAGTCTTTCCTCGTCAATCATCCCGGTAATAGAGTATTCAACATAGTCCAAGACCTTTGTGGTAGTGTTTAATTGTTCTGCTTCCATATTTGTAAGTAACTTCAGTTTTTCCGCTAGACTGTGAAGTTTATCAGCAAGTAAACGACACTGGCTTAAGTTCGTCTGCTCTGTTAAGGAACAGTAGTCATGATCTGTAGATGATGAAATATCTGACTGAATTGTGGTTATTGGAAAGATGTTCATTTCCCCTCCGTCAGAGTGTTGATGGCCTTGGTATGATGTACATGTTTTATTATTTGCCAAAATTGTTTGTGCCTCTTGATCATTTTGGGGTTGAACATCCTGGGCACCCAGATGATAGGTCGTGTTTAAGTTGTTGTCATTTATTCGAGATTTCCATAGATCCTTATGAGGAAAATTAATTAAAAAAAAGACTTATTAGAAATCGTGAAGATCCGAAAACATAAAATATAATGATAAACTCATATTACCTGAAATGACTCCATAATTGAGAGCTGGTCTTGTTTGCTATATAGGTCAAATGCCACTCGAAAAACCCCTTGAACACTATAGAACCACAGACTGTTGTTGGAAAAGGGAAGTCGTAGCCCTTGGAATCTGAAGTCTAGAGAGCAATAAGGTAAATATTATCCTCTAATAGTTAATGAAAATGAACTATTATCATCCAATGCCCAGGCCAAAAAATGATCATCACATACCTGATGAGAAAACCAGTTTAGTTGCCAATCCTCGTTTAGCATATTTCGCATGGTATCTGGGTTGGTTTTCACTGCGAACGTCTGTGTCTGAGAACAGATCAGCTCCAAGAAAGAGAGGGATCATCTGATCCTAGAAAAATCAACAAATTAATGTATAAACAAAATGTTATTTATTTGAGGAACCATACAAAATAATTGTACATACTAAATAATGACTAAATTAAATTGCATTTTCTTTTGTTTTAGGTATCATCAGGTCCTACAAAAATGTTTTACAGCAAAAAGTACTTTTCAGGTATCTCTATAGTTTCTTTATTATAAATTGAATACAAAAATATGTTAAACTGATATGAATTAAAGTGTATTTAATTGATCAATAATCAAGAGAAGTGGGGAAAGCTGGCTGACTGGTTTTAGTTTGTCTTCAAGCCTGGTCACATCTGGTTTTGCAGGCTGGTTTTAGAAGGGTGTTTCGCCGTTCGGCCACTTCTTTAACTGGTCAGGCTGGTAGACCAGCTGACCAACCATCTAAAACTAAACCAGTTATGTCTAGTTTAAACCAGTTAAGACCAGCGTAGAGTGGTTTTGGCTGGGTTTTTTTTCCAGCAGGGAGACGCACTGCTTTACTATGATGCAGTTGTCCATGAAGAAAAAAAAAAATGCTAAATCTGCCTTGGCTAGTTTTCAAGCTGGTCTCCCAGCCTAGTCAAGCTTGTGTTCAGCTGGTGTCCCAGTCCGATCAGCTAGCCAAAAAGTGTCCAGAACCCCTCTAAAACTAGCCTACTAAATCAGACATGCCCAGGCTTAGGCTGAATTCAGCAGTTTTTCCAGCAGGGTTTGTCCAAAAATCAACAGTAATTATGTTACTTTTGTTAGTGGTACACTCACCTCATGTGTGCTTTGTTTAGTAACGTTAAAGGTGTTATTGTTTGTAAGATACAAGAATCGTATCCTCCTTTTCCCACTCTCCCAATAAGACATATTGATGAGAGAAACTCCTCCAGATGTCATGATGATTTACAGACAGGAAAATGTTAAAATAGTGAAGAAATGAATGGTTTTATTGCAAACGCCCTGCCATGCCAGATATAAGTTAATCTTTAACGTGGTTACAGAAGAGCATTGTAAAACCGCAAACTATCATTTAGGAACGGTCATATAGCCTGCTTATGCTTTAAGTATGAAGTATTCCGTTGTTTCTACAGTTGAGTGTATATTTACTTCCTGATTCTGGTCTCTAGCCAATCAACAGTCAAGCGTCAGCGCGTTGTAGGATTTGCCCTTCGAACCGGACCCGCTTTGTGATCATCAAACATGGCGGCGGTGGATTTTGGAGATGTAGAATTGTTCGAGCAATTCGAAGAAAAAGCGCCAACGCACATTCGTATAATAGATGAAGGTGATGAGGAAGAGGGTGAGAGTTCAGACCGACTCCGGGGGCTTCGGCAGACATTAGAAGTGTGCGAAGAAACAGTAGAGCGTCTGAAGGCAGAGAATATCCTTATAGTGTTTCATCCAGTGAGCGTGCTGGCTTTCGTTTACGGCTGACATATATTTGACTGCTTTATTCGTGTTGAATATAGCTGTATCAATGGAAATACCTGTATCTATTATTGGACTTTCGATTGTGTTCAACAGACGTTAAAAGGCAATGTCTGATGTTTGTGTAACGTTAGATCAGTTATGTTTAGTTCAGATCGGTTGTGTTTAACGTTAGTTAAGTTACGATGAAAGTATGATTAAAGGGATAGTTCACCCAAAAAATGAAAATTCTGTCAATAATTACAAACCCCTAAGACTTTCGTTCATCTTCAGAACACAAATGAGGATATGTTTGATGAAATCTGAGTGCTTTCTGTCCCTCCATTGACAGCTAAGTTACGTAACTACCACTTTCAAGCCCCAGCGACAAGTGCTTCGTTTGCGCAAAAAAACCAACAACATAATTTACACCCTTATTTAGAAAATATGAATCTCCAACGTGCCCTCACCTAACAACGTCCGTCTCGTGTCAACAACACTCACGTGTTGTGCTGCTCTTGTGAAAGCGAGATTTGTAAATAAAAAGGTAAATTATGGCTTCGTAAAATTGAGATTAAACCACTGGAATCATATGGATTACTTTAATGATGTCTTTACTACCTTTCTGGGGGTTGAAAGTGGTAGTTGTGTAGCTGTCAATGGAGGGACAGAAAGCTCTCAGATTTCATTTAAAAGATCTTCATTCGTGTTCTGAAGATGAACGAAAGTCTTATGTTTGGAACAACATGAGGGTGAGTAATTAATGACAAGAATTTTCATTTTTGAGTGAACTATGCCATTAAGATTGCACCGACAGCAGTTTTTTTTTTTATGGTCGAAAATCAACACAATAACTGCTATTTTGAATGTTTTTGTTAGAAAAAGCCTACTCAAACTCACAATTTCACATGCTGCAAGTGACATCAAGCATCAAGACTGAAAATACACAGGGAAAAAAGAAGATTGAATGTTTAGTACTTAGAAACGTTTTCTGTAATATGTAACTTTTTCAAATCTTCAGTCAAGAATTAAGACGGGAAGTTAGTTCACTGGAATAAATATGCTCTATATAGCCTCATCAAACAGATGAAAAATGCTAATACTGTTCAATAATAGCCAATACCTATATATGGTGTACTTTTACTCTCTTTTTTTCCCACTGCTTGTTGTCTGTCTTTATATTGAGTGTTGAATTTTGTACCTTAATGATGATCCACATGAGGAACTGAAGAGAAAGTTGAACATATTAAGTCGTCCTACGTGAGTTAATAATAATTATTTACACTCTATTTCAATATATGGTTAAACAGGGCATTTGCAGTTATTGATTTGATTTAATGGTCATTTTTATGCCAGGGGTATAAAAATAGCAGATTCCAAAACCGATGGACCACTTTGTCAGGTTAATTATGGAAACAGCATCATTTCCAAGTAGGTACTTCCTGTAACATCCTTGATTATAATGTTTTTAAAAAATGTAGTTTTGTTTATATGCTTTTTGTGTGTGTGTTTAGGCAGTGTCGGAAAGACATCGAAGACTTCATCTACTGTCTTGTCGAGAAACGCCTACATGAGTGTAACAATGATCCAGAAGGCTCTGCGCTTCATGTCAACCCACATGTACATCTTTAATATCACTGGACAAGGAAGTTAATACAATAGTCTCAGTCATCAGTAATCACAAATTCTGTTTTTTCCTTGTTTGTAGCATTCGAGTTTCGTCATGGAGGAGAGCTATAAAGCGAAGACTTCCAGTGACTCCCAACTTATAAAAAATGCTTTCAGTGTGAGTGACACCGCAGCACACATTATTCATATTCAATTAGTCGACTATTGAAACCACTGCTAATCACACTTGCTTTTGGTTTGTAGATAATAGGGAGTGTTTTATACTTCACCAACTTCTGTGTTGATAAACTTGGCCAGCCGCTGCTGAATGAAAACCCCCAGCTGACTGAGGGATGGGAAGTTCCCAAGTATCCTAAAAGCTTATAGCCAGCTTATACTTACTGTGCTTTTCATAATCTAGATAATGCTTTCACTCTATTTTACACATCTATGCACAGCACTGCTCCTGAATCATTTTTTTGCAAAGATACCAGCAGGTGTTTGGCCAGATCATTGCCCTCGAGGGCCAAGAGGTGCAGGTAAAGGAGAAAAGGTATGGAAAGAGTTTACAATTGATATTTTGATGGTATTGCAAGACTGATGATTGTCTTAACAAGCTTGTTTTCGATTGCTTGTGTTGTCTTTCCAGACCTAGACCATGCTGTTTTAACTGCTGTTCTGAGGACCATCAACTCCGAGACTGTCCCAAGGTGTTTTTTCCTTCAATTATTGACTATATATGTACTAGATTCAAATTTACTGTTGCATTATGTTTTGAAATCGACATATGGTTATAAATCAAACTTTGAGCCTTTTAAACCTTTTAACCTTTTTTATATTTACTGTTTAAGCCCAAAGATATGGCTCGTATCAATGAAAAAAGAAAGGAGTTTTCACAGAACAGCAGTCCGAGCAACCAACGCTACCATGCAGAAGAGGTCGAGGAGCGATTTGCAAAGTACAAGCCAGGAATAATGAGGTCAGTCGTCTTATGAAGTGGCAATTTTTGCATTTTTTCTTTCTCTATTTTTTGTTTAGTCATTTTTTAGTTTTCAAATAAGGCAAACACTTAAAGTCCCCCTTCAGTCATATATTTATCATTGTTGTTCTACATTAGAGAAATAATTAGCCTTTAAAATATAAATCAAGCGCTCAAGCGCACTAGCAGAAGTAATGATTGTGAATGTGTCGGAAAAAAAACATTTTAATAATTTATAATGTTTTCTCGGCTGCAAAGATTAAGTTGATGACTGACTCTTCCAGAAGTTCCTAAATAAATCTAGTTTGTCATTGATAAATCGCTGTAAGCTATCTTTAAATATATAATGTTCATCAACTCGCATCAAATGTTGGTAGCATGTCTAGTTTCCACCTCTGGAGAATCCACGTTTTTGCTAGAACCGTACATGAAGAGATAGACAGGCATTAACAAAATGTTAATATATATAACATAATGTCAAAAAATTGGCCAACAAAAGATCGGGCTGAAATATGAGTCCAATACCTGTGAATTTTACAGCATGTCAAACAAATGAATCAGCGGACCTTCTGCAGATTTGCATTTATTGCATTCGAGAGTTAGTTCATCCAGAGATGAAAATGGTCAAATCCATAAAACTTTTGTTCATTTTTGAAACACAAAAGATATTTTCAATGTTAGCCAACATCTAAGTTTGTCTTACCAACTTTACCCATCTACTTTTAACTGAATCACAAATCTGATAATTATGTAGCTGCTTTAAATTAGTACAAGCTTATATATTTACTGATTTAGGAAATGGGTTAATAAATATTGCATGTAAATGATAGACTTGTACATACAATTGATTCAAGTACTGATAACATAACAAAGGCATTTTGCCTTTCCACCCACATTTCTTTGCCCAAATATTTTAATTTGGGAGGATTAGGCCTGGTTTCACAGACAGATCTCAGATTAAGCCAGGATGAGGCCTTAGTTCAATTAAGTAGCTTTTATAAACGTGCCTTAGAAAAAAGAAACGTTACTGGTGTGCACCTTGAGACAAACAATGGAACTGACATATTTTAAGATATATCAGAGCAAGTTGCTTTCAGTTAAAACAGCTCAAACATGCTTATGCCTGCTCTATAAAATGTCATTTTTCTGAAAGTCGACTGTCTTTGTGTAGTGAAGACCTCCTTGATGCTCTTGGGATCACTGTAAACACCCTTCCTCCATTCATCTACCGCATGAGGGAGCTCGGCTACCCGCCTGGCTGGTTAAAAGAGGCAGAAATGGAAAACTCAGGCCTGATTCTCTATGATGGTAAGACTGAGTTTGGTATTTATTGTGGCCAGTGTTAGCAACAAATCTCTTAGGTTAAGAAACCCCATAATTGTAAGTATATTATTACTAAGGGTTTTCATACTTGAGGTGTTTGTTGCAGCTGACCACAGAACTGCAAGACCTTCACCTTTCATAAGCGTGATTAAGGAAGAATAGTGTTTTAAATACAACTATACTGCCATTGACTCATTCACTTTTCTTTGCAAGGATCAAATGATGAAGATGAAAATCACCCCAGCCAAAATACATCTTATGATGTCTCCAAGCTGGTTGACTTTCCTGGCTTCAATGTCTCTACGCCACCCAACATAAGAGATGTAAGTGTGCAGATACCAGAGCATATGAGCGGAGTGGAGCGGTGAGAATCTCAGCTCCTCGCTCACGGAGCTGTTCACCCCTCCGCTCCGCCGCTCAAAGCCACATCAGGCCGCTCCGCTCATTATTGCTCAGCGCTCAACTCAGTTTGCTTCGCGCTCCACTCAAATCGCCCCCCGCTCGCTCCAAAAAAAGAAAAAAATCTGCATGTACTTCACTTTTAGCTTAGACCACAGGCTTACCTCACAAAGAACTGAAGAGCAACAACAACATTTTCCAAATAGAAATGTTTTATTTCAAATTACAAATAAGGCCTAGCCTCTGTAAGAAGGAA